ATCGGATTTTGTCGGGAATTGTTATGCATTATCCGCAGTCGCACGGGCCCAAGAGATTCTTTTGAAAATCCATGATCCATGAAATATTCTTCGGTTTTAAGGAATATTTCTTTGATTTAACGAAATGTGTCTCTTGGGAACGGATTGTCCAGGATTTCTCCAATTCTACGACAATTTTTCTCAGTGTTAGACAAGCTAATATTAATGGATATTTTCCAGTGTCAGATTCGGAATCCCCGACCCCGAAAACCCCCGAGTAGAAATTTAGAAGTCAATTACTCAGCTATTCGATGTTTTACAGAAGACGCCCCGCTTGCCTCCCTGGGGGCCCCAGGGCCGTTGGGTATATTTTTCAGGGTCAAAAAACCCGTGCACACAAATTTCTACAATTTTAGTCAATTTTTACCATTTTTAGAAAATTTAGAAAAATTGATGCACTCCAAGATGCACTTTATGCACCCGCAATGCAGTTTCGATCCAGCCCCAAAGTGTAATATATAGTCTTTTTTCCTGATGTTTTTTCGAAGACAATGCCGAAAACCGCAACTCGATCGGTTCATCAGAAAAAAATTGCCGTATTCTGGGTGATTTTGGTCTAACTTGCCTGGACTATTAACTAAGATATCAAAAACGACGATTTATGGCGTAATTAAAGAAGGATTGATCACGGTACAAAGATGAAAGGGAAAAATACAAAATTAAAGAAAATTGACAATTTTATCAGATGTAACGCGGCGCACAATTTATATGTATAAAGAAAATAAAGTTCCTACTGATTCTACTAAATGATACTAAACATGATTCGATATAAATTAAGCGATTATCCTGATTATAATTATAAATCTTTTACATGCTTTATTACAATGTGATTTTAAACATAAGAAACTTGACAATCTATGGTAATTACATGGTAACATAGCTCGGAATATAGTATATCTAGACGAGACAGGGCTAAATTTTTCTGGACGTCTATGGATTCCGTAGAATTTATGAATTAAATGTTTTTATGCGGTTCCAATTGAGATCGTAACAACTATATACAATTTTGAATATTGTTAGTTATAGTTTAATATTATTGTAAGTGGTAACACATAATAAATAATACCAATACATGGAATCAGAATCATGTGATTCCTGTGAACCTGTGAACACACCTTCTAAGAGAGGTTCTAAGAGAGGGTTGACCATATTAATTATGTCATGACAGAGGTGCTTATCTACTCTAAATAACTGCAAAAATTTTCTATCAGATACAGATACTTGAAATGCATTTGTCTGGGGCGAAACATCTCTTCTAATAGCCAATTCTGCCACCGCTTCCTCAACATCCTCGTTAATAATGTCATTCCACAGCATTAAATTTAAGTTTTCCATGTTTATTTTAGATTTATGTAATTAAAATGTTCAACTCATTTGACATTTTAGGTACTTCAAAAATAAACAAAAACAGACAATTTAAGGTTAGATTTGCTATTTCCCTCAGTCTCTACTAGGAGAACTTTAAGTTCTCTTGGGAGTAGCTCCCTCCCTAAATATTTTTTCAAGAATACCCTGTTGTGCATTTTTAAGAGAACCACGCCCACTTCCCTCACAAGTTCTACTCCCTGAAATTCAAGAATAGACCACCTGGGAACATTCTTGTTTTGTTCCCGCATTTTTTGACATTTACGCGAAATCTTGACATCTACGTTAATTTGAAAATTTTCTTACAAAATGTACATTTCTCTTCCAAAGAATACATATTTAGGTGTCCTTGTTAAGGAAATTTTATTATATTTTGTATATATCACCACTTATTACTAAAAATTATACTATAATTAACAATATTCAAAATTTTTCACCTATTTCGCATCATTTTATAGGAAAGTTGGAATATACGGTTTGTAGTATTTTACTTCTATTGCGTTTTTTGCATAAAAATGTTTATAGAATATGAATTAATGGTAAATTGGAGTAGGAAACATATAAGCATATACAGGGTGTTCAAAAAGTTTGGAGTCCCCCCCTCTATCTCAGAAAATACTGCTCAAAGAAAAAAAATGATTAGGACAAAAGTTGTAGGGTTTTGAGTAAGCAATCCAACGGTGACCTTCACCATGACCTTGAAGGTCATTTAGAGGTCAAGTTGAAAATTTTAAAGGGCACCGTATATTTTTGACCCTAACATCTCGGTAATTTTTCCATTGATGAGAACCTTTCGAGACAGGCTGTTGGAAATACTGTGACTATTTCCGGGGTCAAAAATATACGGTTCCATTTAAAATTTTCAGGTTGACCTCTAAGTGACCTTGAAGGTCATGGTCAAGGTCACATTCGAACGTAAAATTTTCCGCTCTTAGCATTTCCGGAGTCAAAAGTATACGTTTCCATTTAAAATTTTCAACTTGACCTCTAAATGACATTCAAGGTCATGGTCAAGGTCACCGTTGGATTGCTCACTGAAAACCCTACAACTTTTGTCCTAATCATTTTTTTGTTTGAGCAGTATTTTCTGAGATAGAGGGGGTTCCAAACTTTTTGAACACCCTGTATGTACAAACTGTCTTTTACATGATGGCACAATCCGTTTACTACTTTGTCACAAACAAGACCTCTATTAATTGGCCTAATTGGCCATTTCAGCATTTGAATATGCATAAGCCACTATGAAAACTTAATCTTTTTAAAAAATAAGCTTAATTTGACAATACACAATATTACATAAAATGACGGCTTCCTATTATTATTGTTTTGCGTGGCCTCCCTAAGATATGTTTAAGTAATTTAAGTAACTGTAAAAATGCACTTGATCAAACAATCAATTTTGTTATTAATCGGTTTGGAATACAAAATAGTGTAAAGAAAAAAAAGTGAACATAATAACGAGCGTTCAAATAAAAACGTGGTCAAGTTGGTTCTGAAAATTTGGACGTAGGGCGTAGCGTATAGCAAATGAACTTAAACGTCAACTGTCAAAGCGCTAAATCGCCGCTATCAATTTGAATATTTTCGTTTTAAAAAGCGTTTAAAATGGTGTTTTCTCAAGAACAAAAAGTGTTTATCATAGAGTCCTACTTTAGAAATGGACGCAAGATTGATGGAATATGGAAGTATTCTATTGAGGAATGTTTCATAGAATTTCAAAATCAATTTCCCGGCGTTGTTGAGTACAAAATTTTTCAAAGTGCAGTTCAGCGTTGTGTTAATGTTTTTCGTGAAACGGGCAGTGTAACAAGAAAAGAAGGAAGCGGCCGACCTAAAAAGCGGACTGAAGAATTAAAAGAAAATGTCCAACAAATAATGGAAAATGCGCCAAGAACTTCTGTACGTGTTTTATCACAAATGGTGGGAGTATCAGTCGGTACCTGCCACACAGTGTTAAAAAAAGATTTGCGTTTGTTCTCCTATCGTTTAACTTGTCAGCAAGAACTTCATGAAGTTGATTTTCCGCGACGGGCTGTATTTTGTGAATGGTTTTTAAACAACTACGGTGAACTTCATAATATCACCTTTTTTTCTGATGAAGCCTGGTTTCATTTAAGTGGTTACGTAAACTCACAGAATATGAGAATGTGGTCTTCTGAAAAACCAGATAACTTTTTTGTCGAGGGCCCTCTACACGCTCAAAAAATTGGAGTTTGGTGTGCTCTCAATCGAAGGAGGATTTATGGACCTATTTTTTTTAATGGTACTCTTACTGCGCAAAGGTATAGAGAAGAAATTATCGCTCCTTTTGTTAACCAGCTGGAAGAAAACGAAATTACAAACTTTTACTTTCAACAAGATGGCGCAAGGGCACATACGGCAGGCGAGACGATGAATATGTTGAGGGAAGTTTTCCAAAATCGACTAATAAGTCTCAATGCTGAACATGAATTTCCACCGAGGTCATGTGATATTACGCCGTGTGATTTCTTTTTGTGGCCTTACCTTAAAAACACTATTTTTGAACTGCCTATTCCTGATTTAAACCATCTGCAGGCTCGACTTATAGACAAGATTCGTGAAATTAACAATACCCCGAGCATCTTAGAAAATGTCTTTAATTCTTTGAGGAACAGGTGTGAAAAGTGCTTGGAACAAGGAGGGGGACACTTTCAGCAGCTGCTTTAATTTATTGTTATAACAAGGAGGGGGACACTTTCCGCAGCTCCTTTAATTGTTTGTTATTGTTATCACGATTATTCTTTAAAATAAAGTTATATAGTCATTAACGTTATTGAAACTGACAGCTGCTATACAGCTCATTGAATAATGAGGTTAAGTTGGTCGCTATAAGCTACTCCCTACGTCCAATGTGTCAGAGCCAACTTCGACCACGTTTTTATTTGAACGCTCGTTACAATGGCGCATATAATGACCTAATTTATTTGTAATATTATACAGCGTGATATATTTTTTTGGTAAAAAATTATCGATAATACCCACACCTTCACCACTGGAATGTTTCTAAAGCTAGTAATTTTTTGTGTCATACCTACTATTCTACTAAATATGTACACTGAATTTGGTTAAATTATCTCAAGCGATTTAGAAATTAAAAATTAAAATCTGATTTTTTTTTTAATTTTTGAGACGCTGTAGGTGGATAATGGCTGTCCTAAGACCCCACATTTATATGGCAATAAACACTTATTTTTGGCCACAGAATAAACCTGTTTGACCTTTACTTAAGAAACACCCTGTATAACAGCATTCGTGGTCAATGTGTATTTTCGTGTCTCCAATTTATAAATAACTTCTGAATTACTGTATGTACATAAATATATCAAATATTGTAAGTAAATTATTAGGACCGCTCGACTCCTCGCACATGCATATGATATACCCGCGAAAGAATTTATTAACATAATCTAATACTGCAAAGATTAATCGAATAAAGGTCATAAGCGCCGAGATATAACTTATAAATTAATTTCCAGTTTAAGGCAAGCAAAGTTTATATTTATAGACATATCATGATCGCGGGTTCACTGATCTAGCAGGCTCTCTAAACGTTCATACCGTTTCAAATAAATTACCTGTGGTCTGTTAAAATCGTCATAACATCTCGTCCAATTTTTTCCTATGACTGGCGTTTGTCCAATCTCTTCTGCAATTCCGTAACGCAAACAATTAACCAAAAAAAATATCACACGCACTTTTACACGCATTTTATTCCTAATACTAAACAACAAACCGGTAGATACAGATAATAATTATAGTGTCTTTTAAATACTATTTGCCCGAGGGGGGGTTACATTTTTTTTTTTTTAGTAAAATGTGGTTAGCTGAACACTACCGTGTAGAAGCACGCGAGTGCGTAGAGGCACTTTTAACAAAGTTCACTTACACATGCACGCCTGTTCTCACGCACCATCAACTCAGCCGGTCTTCTTGTGTCTCAAGTTAAACGCGAGTATTATACAGACGCCGCGCTGTAAAATTCAGATGTTTTGTGAACCAGATGATGGAATCGATGCACTTGCACAGATAGCCAAACGGTACACTGCATCAGACAATTCATTTGAGTTTATGATTTATTATATTACACAAGCAACTGCTTAGAATACTTAAAGCAAAGAAAATTGTAGTCTAAGTAACATGACTGGGATCTCTGATAACGTAATTGATTTTTTTTTAAAGTTTTCCAAATATTTTTATAGCGACAGAAATACATATATTGAAAGCATTTTTCAACTTTCAGATCTAGATATGTATTCTTTTAAAACAATGCAAAATTGGCATTTCTAATTTTTAATACGCAACAAATTATTTTCATTGAAAGTTACGCTTTTTAATAATAGCCTTTATATCTTTATTTTCTAAACATAAAAACCAGAAAGTTAAGATAGAGTAGCATTTATTACCAATGCATTGTAATGCATTGTAAATAATTCATTGTCGAATTTTAAAATATTACATAACAATATTAGGAGTCTTAGTAAAAATATAGATGAAATGAAAATACTATTACAAAATTTAGATTTAGATTTTGACTGTTTGATTTTTACCGAAACATGGATATTGGATAATCCGGAATTGTACAGTATAGATGGTTATAACATGCTATATAATCACGGACTGGTAAATCAGAATGATGGTGTCGTACTTTATATAAAAACAAATTTGCTATTTGAGTATAAAGTAGATGATATCGATAATATTAAGGTCCTAAACGTAAAAATTAAATATAACTCGCAAAACACCGTCCGGATTCTGGCATTATATAGGTCACCAGCTGATAATCCTTATATTTTTAATGCCAATCTTCAGAGATACTTCCAAAATTTCGAGTTTACAAATGAGCATTATCTTTTTGTAGGGGATATAAATATAAATTTATTATCATCCATGACAGATTATGTCGTAGAATATTGTAATATAATGAGTGAATCCGGTTTTACATCGACTATAAACGAACCCACAAGAATAACAAATAACTCAAAATCATGCATTGATCATATTTTTATTAAGTCAAAAAATAATAGTTTATTAGAATATATTCTCCCCATAGTTTTACAAAGTAATATCACAGATCACTGTACAACCATATTACAGATAATACTAAATAATCCTAAAATCACAATGCAACAAAAACTTAAATATACTCAAAATATAGATACTAATAAATTTTATTCATTGTTGGAAAACACTTCCTGGGAGGCTGTCTATGCCTCAGAAAATGTGGAAACTGCAACAAATGTATTTATTAAAATCATAACAGAATCACTTGAAAGCTGCACAGTCACTAAATTATTAAAAAGAAAATTTCATAAAAAAAATAACTGGATTACAAATTCAATAATAAAATCTGTAAGTAAAAAAAATAAAATGTTTCGTGTTTTGCAAAAAAATCCTAATAATTTAGAGTTATTACTAGAATATAAAAATTATAAAAACAAATTAACAAATATAATAAAAGCGGCAAAAAGAAATTATTACAATGATCTAATTAATAGAAATAAATTTGATTCAAAAAAATTGTGGAAAGTAGTTCAAAATATTACCGGATCTTATTCAAAACCAAAAGTTATAAGTAGTTTACAATCTGGTAATACCATTATAACAAATTCTAAAGATATGGCTGATGAATTTAATTTAACCTTTGCAAATATAGGAAAATCGTTAGCTCAAAAAATAAAACCAAAACTTAATCAAAATGTTACATTTACAAAAAAAAACTCTTTATCATCATTAGTGCTGCTACCTACAGATAACCAGGAACTAAAAAACGTAATATTACAATTAAAAGATAACAAATCACCTGGAAATGATAATTTAAGTTCAGAAATAATAAAATCTGTTGCCATGTTTTTAATTGAACCATTAGTTTACATTATAAATAACTGTATGACATCTAGTATTTGGCCTTCTGCATTTAAAGATTCTATCATTATTCCCATTTTCAAGAAGGGTGATAATACACAAGCATATAATTATAGACCGATTTCTCTAGTAACAAACTTTAACAAAATTTTTGAAAAAATTATTAAAAATAGAATAGTATCATTTTTAAATAGAAATAAACTCCTAGCTCAGGAACAGTATGGCTTTAAGGAAAACACATCGACACAAGATGCAATCATTACACTTATAAACAAAGTTTCCCTAGCACTTGATAAGGGTTTGCCTTGCTTATGCACGTTCATTGATTTAACCAAAGCCTTTGATACTGTCAGCCATTCTCTACTTTTGCAGTCATTAGAAAATATAGGAGTCAGAGGAGAGTGCCTTAAACTAATGGAAAGTTATTTAAAAAATAGGAAACAATGCGTGAGAGTGGGTGATGTTTGCAGTGAGAAATTAACCGTTGAATATGGCGTACCGCAAGGTACTGTATTGGGGCCAATATTATTCTTAATATATATAAATGATCTATTCACTTTGCCAGTTAAAGGCTTTATTATAGGATTTGCGGATGATACAGCCGTTTTTCATTGGGCTGAAACATGGGATCAATTGAAGGAAGTTGCACAAAGAGATCTGTCATATATTAATGACTGGCTTAACTATAAACTGTTAACAATTAATCTGGAAAAAACTAGTTACTTACCTTTTACATGTAATAAATCAACAATTCCATCCTTTGATTGCTTGAATATAGAAATCAACAGAAACATTTTTACGATTCTTCCTGAAACAAAAGTCAAATATTTAGGTGTATTATTAGATTGTCATTTACGTTGGGATAATCATATAAATTATATTATAAAAAAACTTCAGTCAATAATACATACCTTTAAGTATCTCGGTAGTTTGTTATCCATGCAGTATTTGAAGACCATCTATTACTCCTTAGTGGAAAGCCATATAAATTATGCTATATTAGCCTGGGGCTCTGCTGTTAAGAGTCATATTGAACCTCTTCAAATACTGCAAAAAAGATTTCTAAAGATAATATTTAAGAAGGAACAAACTTACTCTACTAGCGAATTATTTAGTGAAGCCAAAATGCTCGATATAAGGCAACTATACTATTATAATTGTATCTCTAGATATCATTTAGTAGAGGACAAATGCGAATTAATCACACATCACTATGAAACAAGGAAAATAAATAAATACTTACCTCCTTTGATGCAAAAAAATATAGGTCAAAGATCCAATATGTATTTGGCTCCAAAATTATATAATACGATACCTGATTATTTAAAAATTCATAATGCGTCATTTTCTTCATTCAAGAAAAAACTTAAAATATATATATTGGAAACACCTAGAGAAGTGTTGTATGAATATTTTCATTAGGTTCCAGCAGACTAGTGCACCTAGTTCGTTGATGTAGTTTGTGTATTTTTTTAGTGTACTGTATTTTTATGCAACTGTTGGTTTATATGTAATATATGTATGTTTATTGTGAATATGCACTGAAATTTCATTGTAAGTACTGTATTCCTTTCCTTTTATTGTGTTTATCTTGAAACAAGTGTTAAACACTTATCGAGTATATATTTATTCACTTTTTATGTATATGTATGTATATATGTGTATATATGTACATTATTGTATTGTTGATATTATTTGAATAATTATTATTATTATTATTATTATTATTATTATTATTATTATTATTGTGTAATTGTGATTCAAAATTATTTATTTCGCAATTTCGCGACAAAACGTCTGAATCTGGTTCGGGTTGAGGCAGTACACTATCGGGGGTCATGACGGCTTGCAAAACATGTAATAAAATTTCCAGGGTGGTATTTAAAAAAATGAAGTTGATGATGGTCCTGGAGAGACGAAACGTTACATATAAAAATTAATTAAGTCATTCTATAGAGGGCAAAAAGTTGCCATGAGAAAGTTTTCTTCTTTTTTCAATATTAACTCAAAGAAGACTGAAATCCAAATTTTTTTTTCAAATATTTCGAAAACTGTTGTCTTGATTTTTTAGAGGCATAATATTGGTCCCCTGATTATGCAACTTTGCCCCCATTTAAACTAGTTCGTATCTCTTACCGTCTCCGAGTACTGAGAATCGAATTTATAACAGCCTGTATATACAGGGTGCAATTTTAAGTTAGTCAAATAAATAGCCGAGTTATTATTAGTTTTTTTTAATTCTTGTTTATGGTGCCCAACGGGCCACCCGGAAGTAGCGTGGTAAGTTTTACCAGCGCACTATCAGTGTTGCCAGTTGATACTTATTTAAAAAAAACTGTTAGAGAGCGACAAAGGAAAATAATTTATTAAAACAGTTTGCTTGCTTTTGTATGGCCTAACGAGTCAACATATTTTTTTGATACCAATGTGGACGAAGAGTGGATCATTAAAAAACGTTCTACTGCTTTTAAAAATATAAATTTTCTCACTTGATTTGTTAAATATTAGGTAACTAGTATTGGTGAGTACTGAAACTGTTTTAAAAATATCTATTTTTCGGTTTCACAACTAATCCTCTTAATCAATAGCAATATGGAATGAAAAGAGATACTAATAGTTCCAGCAATACTCATAGTCTGAAGGGGAATACTGAGCAAGCAAAAAGGACCTGTTGGTTGAAGAGAATTCAAGGAGAAAGAACCACATATCACGGCAAATTTGTCGCTGACGATAAATTAACATTTGGTTGTCATCTAAAGAACTTTTTATGAATGGTAAACGGTGACTTTGAGACGCTGCTCAATAAAATAGGGCCAATTATTTAAAAAAGGAGCATCAGTGAAGATGCGCCATCTCTGGATAACATTGTTTGTTACATCAAATAAACAACAAATTTGTAGCTGAGACCTCATCATAAACTTTAGGTATATACTAAAAGAGCCAGTCTCATCTTGTCACGACATACGACATAAACAATCAAACACATAGATATTGATATACAGGGTGTAAGAAGTTTGACTGCCATTACTTCAGCATGAGATAGAGTAATCCTAAATGAATAAAAAAAGTTGTATATTGCAGGGGTGTAAGATTAACAGTTTTCAAAATACAGCGAGTATTATTGTATCGATTTTGTAGTACGAAGATAATGTTGTGCTTAAAATTTAGCTCGAATTTTAGTAATTATGAGTCTCTTAAAACAGGAACTTAACTTTTAATCAAATTATGAATTTGAAAAATATGTTATTAAAGTACCCAAAGATTTGCGTCATCCAAATAATCATACGTATTAAAAATAATTTAGTTTATTTACCAACAAGCAAAATTCTGTAACTTTTAAACGCACAAGTACAAAACATGCTACAGCATATGATCAAAATGCCCATCACCATTTTCGATGCACGCACGACACCTTCGAATCCAATTTTCGTGCATTCGCTGGAAAAAAACTTCAAGAAAAGTGGTACGCAAAAAACATTCAGACACGGTCCAATTCCAGATACCAACTGAACTACATAATGTTGGACAGCTTAGTACCTCGTGTTATCCGCCGCGCCGTTGTCATATTGCTGGATATGGATTTTATCGAATTTTAAATTTATTACAACGTACATATAATTATTTTTTAGAATTAAGCATAAAGAAGTTAAAAAAAGTGATAAACATTGTATTTTATGGTTTTCTGTGCACGCAGTTATGTCAATATTTCTTAATTAATCGAACTTTTTTACAAGTTAGAGATTTTGGTAATTTTTTTCTCGGAAATAGTTGAATTTAGAACCCATGTCATTTAAGATTTTTTTGTTTATTTTAATGTATTCTATCGTGTGTTAAAATTAAGGCAGACAAACTTCTAACACCCTATATAGCAACTTTATTTCTAGAAACTAGTCACCAATGACATGTTGCTCCATGTTACTTTTGTCCGGACATATACAGGGTGATTCATTCATAATGGGACAGAGCTTAAGGGCATGTTGCTGACATCAAAATAGAGCGATTAAGCCAAATATGCCTTATCCGAATGTTGCTCCTTTTCGATCTACAGGGTGTTAAAGTTGAAAAAATATTTTCGATTTTTTAAAATATTATGAGCATCTTTGAATGGATTGTCTTGAAAGTAAGTTTGTACACCTATGTTTTCTGAGGTGGTAATCACGGAAATGGTAACTATTTTGCAATCACATCTAGGATGCGTTAGTTGTAGTGTTCCGTCGGAGTAAACATATGTCAAACTTTTTTGTCCTTCAAAAATTTCCAATAAGAAATTATTAAACTACGTTCAATTCTAAATAAAAAAAGATATACCTGTTAAAAATCGATAAACTTAACCGTTTTCGAAATAAGAACGATTTACTATTTCTTTACAAAATTATTTGTTTGAACGTACGCCTTTAAATAAGATGACTTAATTACGAATTAAGACAAACACAGTAACAACTGAAAATTTTATTATGCTTAAGTCTAATTACAAAAGATTCTCAAAGTGGCGACCATTGTTTTCAATACATTTTTTTATTCTCTCGTTAAAATTTTGTCTGACACTGAATAGACTTCTTTGTTGGTCTCTGATAATGTTAACAGATTCTTGTATTTTTGCCCACAGCTCTTCTCGAGTATGTATAACATCTTTATAAACTAAAGATTTAACGTTACCCCAGAAATAAAAATCTAGGGGATTTAAATCAGGGCTACGCGCAGGCCAAGGCACTTCGCTGCCGCGACCAATCCAACGGTTTCGAAAACTTATATCAAGATATTCTCTTACTGGTCGGGAGTAATGTGCGGGAGCACCATCATGCATAAACCAAAAGGTTTGCCGTAAATTTAAGGGGATATTTTCAAGAACGAGTGGCAAGTCATTTGTTAAAAAATTTAAATAATTTTCCCCATTAAGTGGACGGGGTAACACAAATGGTCCCAAAATGTTATCGGAAAGTATTCCACACCAAATATTTATTGAGAATTCATGCTGAAAATGTTGTTCTCGTGGCAAGTGAGGATTTTCCAGTTCCCAGGAATGGCTATTTCTCCAATTAAATACACCGCGCCGGGTAAATGTAGCTTCGTCCGTAAACAATATTTTATTATAAAATGTAGGGTCAGCATTTTGTTGCCGACGAAGAAACTGTGCGAACCGAAATCTACCAGGAGGATCTTGTGGCATCAACTGTTGAACCGGACGAAAATGGTAAGGATACAATTTTTCTTTGTGGAGTATTCTGAAGACGGAAGGCTGACTTACACCAGTAGCTGATGAAATTCGGCGTGTGCTTGTTTGCGTGTTTTCGGCAATTCGCACTAAAACATCCTCTTCTTGCTCCGCCGCTAATACTTTAGGCCTTCCAACGTCTCGTTTAGGGCGAAATGATCCCGTTTCTCCTAATCTGTCGTACAACGTCTTGAAAAGCTTGTGGTTAGGTTGTCTGTTATTTGGATATAACTCCAAGTACCTCGCTGCTGCATGACGACCACAATAATTTTCTTGGGCATACACACATACCATGTTTCTCATTTCAACAAACGAATAATCATTATGACGCGGCATTTTAATGAAAAAAATCACAAACGAAGAAGAACTAAACTGTCTAGTATTTATAAGTTGCTTAGAATTGACATAAATAATACATGACATTTCATTGACAGCGGCCTACTTCATTTAAGTCATCTTATTTAAAGGCGTACGTTCAAACAAATAATTTTGTAAAGAAATAGTAAATCGTTCTTATTTCGAAAACGGTTAAGTTTATCGATTTTTAACAGGTATATCTTTTTTATTTAGAATTGAACGTAGTTTAATAATTTCTTATTGGAAATTCAGATTTTTGAAGGACAAAAAAGTTTGACATATGTTTACTCCGACGGAACACTACAACTAGCGCATCCTAGATGTGATTGCAAAATAGTTACCATTTCCGTAATTACCACCTCAGAAAACATAGGTGTACAAACTTTCAAGACAATCCGTTCAAAGATGCTCAAGATATTTAAAAAAATCGAAAATATTTTTTCAACTTTAACACCCTGTAGATCGAAAAGAAGCAACATTCGGATAAGGCATATTTGGCTTAATCGCTTTATTTTGAGGTCAGCAACATGCCCTTAAGCTCTGTCCCATTATTAATGAATCACCCTGTATATTATACAGTTTAAAAATAATCATTGCTCTCGTAAATTATTATTCATGTACATCTGGATGATCATTTCTAGTACCTACATTATTCGACTTGAATCTGCAATAAAACAATACCTAGTTAAAAGTTGATTATAAATATGACAAGTAGTGAGTGACGTACTCCTAATTAACTAATCTTTATTATTAGATTTTTATAAATATCGATACTGGCAAATGTTTCTGCATCGTTACAAACTCAAAAACATCAAAGAGTGCCGTTAATATTTAAGGATCTAGTAAGAAATTAAAAAAATACGGGACGATTATATTTCTTAAAATGCTGTTATGTTTCCTGAAGTTTTCAATATGGCTTCTTTTTTGTTGAATTTAAACAGTTCGTTCTATTTCTCATAGGAGATAACAGCTGATTTATTATGTAAAAGAGTACAGTACATATAGTACTTTTTGGTTAGACAAGTCTATCATCACGTTACATTTATAGTTCACTGTTTTAACCATATCTCTCATTAAAGATAAACCGCTTTAACTTTATATGTACCTATTGCATTTGTAAGAAGGTTCTATTTAAATATTATAGTTACCTCAGTTTGCAGTACACAAGTTTTTTCATATATGCAAACACAATTAATTCTTTAATAATATTTAACATTTTGTTGTCTCTCACGGGTATCTATTATGTATGTATGTTAATTTCCATAATTAACACTGATTAATTATACTTGCTATTATTTTTTCTCTTTTCTTTTGGATCTGTTGAACGTTGAGTCACTTCTATAGCTACATTATTATTATAACTGGTCAGGCGTAGTACTGATGCCTCAGGGGGTCTCCATAATTGGTCGTTTGGTGGCCCCTGTCTGGATCAACTTGTCTTCCTCGTTTTATCTTCTTGATACCGATTTAACTGTATATTTTGTACCAGACCTTTTGTCAAGTTTAACATTTCCATTACTACAGCAAAAACATTCGTAATGTAGGTATTGCAGTTATTCATTTCATACCTTTTTAGTCCCACCTATAACTAGTCCTACATGCAATTTAATAATATACAGTGTGTCTCTGGTTAGGTAAAACGACTCTTGTAAGAGTTAAATATTTAAATGTGACTTTCTGGAATTCAGCGCCGCTTGTCTAAGAAATAAAATATTCCATGATCAGTAAATTCCTGTAAGCCTTGGATATCTAGAAATACATAACTGTTTTATCAGTAGTAAAATGTGTATGCAGTATGGAATCTTTCCAGTGATCATTTGCCTAATCCTTGTAAATGAGTTATGGAGCAGTCGAATTATAGGTTGAACGTAAAACAATTATTAGCAGACATTTTATTGCCGGCATATTCGTTGTTGGAAAATGTTTCGTAAACTTAATTTCTCGTAACTTCGACTACCGTAATTAATTTCGACATGTACGCTTGTAAACAACACTGTTTTTTATAATTAGAGGTACCTACTAGATAACAATAAATAAAATATTTACATGCATTTTTCTACGAATTAATTCAGGCGATACATTAGACCCAATTTACTCGAAAACGGTTCATTTTTGAGCCATGAAACAAGAGCACATTTTTTGTTCAGAATCGATTGCAGGTTCAGAAAAACTTAATCAAATTACATAAAACTAGGATATGCAAAAGTTATGAAGACATAACCTTGAGGACAAGCTGGCCTAGGCCGCCCCTGGTGTCAGATAAAAATAAGCACCATGTAGTTTTAATGACCTTTAATAAATTACTTAAATCCCTGAAAGGGTTTTTGAGTTATTGCGGAATTTGTTATTATTTTTTTCTAAACAACACCCTGTAACTCAGTGAGAGTGCATCGCAGAAAAATATTTTATAAGAATTTTAATCTTATTTTATCTGGTGTACCCCCTGGTAAATTTTTGTACGCTGACACTGGGATGGACACCCTGTATTCCGAAGTAAAAATCAATTCAGCTTGATCAAAGTCATTTTGTCCGTGAGCTTCAGTTGCGCATTAAAGGGCCCTAGCCGGCGGGGCCCAGCCAGGACAAAAGGAGGTCCCACAAAGCGCCTACACCGGCCGCATTTGCGGTCGGGGTAGACGACGGATGGGTCCCACCTACGAAGGCTGTCCAGGCCTACACGAGATGAGGCAGGATAAAGAGGGATAATCCCCCTCGATCCCAAATCATTGAGGCCAATTTCTAGCCATGGAATAATGGCGCGAGTTGCGCACTGGCAATGTTACTAGATCAGCACCGGAGCTCATTCTCTGTCTGAACGTCAAATCGTGAACATCGGTATGCATAACATTGCACAGAAGGTATGTGGTATGTACCTTTCTTCGTCTTCTTCTTCTTCTTCTTCTTCGTCTTCTTCTTCTTCCTAGTGGTTGGTCCTAATGGGTCCCATAGCACCGCGGCCTAATTAGGCCTAGTGTGCGTCCTTGCTGACACTTCTCTCAGTTCCTTGGGTATGTACCTTACTTGCCGTTTGTTTTTTTTACTTTAAAATAATCAATACAATCAAATTATCTCGTTTAATATTGGTCGTATCAAAAAATTTCAAGAGAAAAAACCTTTTAAAATTAAATTATCTGTCCAATGATGCTGCACAAGCCATCAAAATAAGGAGTATAAAAAATACAGGATGGAACTAAGAGCGGCTACCCCTACATTACCCCCATGCCGCCAATGAATTTTATTGATATTCACTTCAAAACATGGCTATTTATTAGCATTGGTTGCGTGCCAAATTTTTAAAAAATATCATTTAGGAGAAATTTGTATTTTTAATTTTTTTGTTTCTACTTTCATAGGAGTTCATTTTAGTATCTAGTTCAAACAGTCTATTTTGACCTCTAGTTTCTGCTCTCTAAGGTTGGCTACATATTTTAGAATTACCCTGGATAATATTAACAGTGATACATTACATTTTATTTTTAGTTTATCATAATATTTGTAACAAATTCTTTGCTTATAAACGTATAACTAAAACACATTTTCTTGTAATTTAACATAAATTTTTAGTAAGTTACGTCTGTGAAAAATGTTCAATGCTGTCGTCGCTAAGAGTTTTTTCCTCTGAAGAAAACAACCTATTGGTGTTGCTTGGAAAGTTCAGTATTGTGTCGATACTGGTCTCCTTAAATTCTGTATCCTCAGAGGACGATTGATCGGAAACTTTTTCAGAACATTTTTCAGAGTTTTCTGTTATATCTTTATTTTCACTAAAGCTATAATCTACGTCTTCCTCAGCCAAAGCCTTGATAAATTTATTGTTTTTCAAATTACTTTCCAAATCTCTGTTGAAGTGACATATGGTGTCTTCGTCGATTTCTGTGCTTTGTTTTTTGAGTACACTTTTAATTTTGGGTAAAAATTTTGATTGTTCGTTTGCCTTCACATTTTTTCGGATGTTTTCCGTTTCAGTACTCGTGTTTGTTTCCATTAATATATTTTCAGCACTTTCGGTTTTACTAATAGTTATTACGGGGATGTTTTCAGACCATACTGATGATCCTGAGTCCTGACGCATATCCCTGGATGTCGAAGGCACAACTCTTTCTGGAAACGTTCGTTTTGGTTCAAAAGAGTCATATCTTTGAATGGGCGACTGTTTCGTATCTACAGAATCTACACTTTCACGGGGCTGATTTGATAATCTACCCTGGTTAGCTTTCATAGCTCTAGAAACAACACCTTGAAAATCAGAGCTGTTCCATGAGAGTGAAGGCCTCACAGATCTGTGTAAATTTTTGGATGCCATTGTATCATAAGGTAGAGAGTCGTGTTGCTCTGTATCAGTACCGTCTTCAGCATTCTGCTCTTCTTCTGAAGTAGACGATTTGCCCAAAGCTTTTTTTATAAATTTGGTCAAGAAGTCTATAAATATTTAATAGTTAGTATAATAAATAAATTAAATGCCTTACCTATTATTTACCTTTGTTCTTGTGCTCTGCTTTTTTGACAGGTTGTGGTAGGTCTTCAGATTCTTGCTTAGGAGTGTCGTCAAAGGTTTTTCCGCTTGGAAGATTGCCCAAGAGTTTCTTCCATTTCGAAAATGGTGTGTTTGATAATTCGTTAGATTCGCCAGAGCCAACCCTTCTCCTATCAACAATTTGAAACATTTTCCTTCTTTCCTCAGTTCTTTCTCTTCGCAATTGGATCTAGAAATAATTTAGTGAGTTCATAATTAACTACTAAGTTTCAGAATAAATTACGTTGACGTGATGGATTTTTATATACCGAGTGCACAAATTCTGTATGTTATAAATAAATAACATGCAACTTATATCAGTAAAATAATAATCTGTAGGTATTAAATTATGAATATCAAACAATTTCTGTGAGAGAATGAATTTAAGCTTTTTTTAATTTATCGAGCCCAATGAATCCAGTACTTTAGATCGCCGATTGCAATAATTTCATGAAGGAATCTTTTTTTAAGCAACTTTATTTTCAGTTCTATCGAAACCGTGTGCAGTTACCTATTATTATAGGTGTTAGTGTATCCAACTTTTTTATTTTTATTTAATTTTAAAGATATACTTTAAATCAATTCAGAAATATCTCTAAAAGTCATAGCAAATTTAGGAAAATTATCTCTAACAAAAAATATGAATACGTGGACTAATAATAAAATATAAGGGTGATCAAAAATCCAGCGGGGTATTCTGTGGCCAAAAATAAGGGGTTTTTGTTATATAAATGTGGGGTCTTAGGACAGCCAGTGTCCAGCTACACTGTGTCAAAAATTAAAAAAAAAATCAGTTTTTAGTTTCTAAACCGCTTGATATAATTTAACCAAATTCGGTGTGCGTAGTTAGTATGGCAGTATCATTATTTGCAAAAATAATGAGCGGTCAAATAAAAACGTGGTCAAGTTGGTTCTGAAAATTTGGACGTAGGGCGTAGCGTATAGCAAATGAACTTAAACGTCATCTGTCAAAGCGCTGTATCATAAAAAGCGTTTAAAATGGTATTTTCTCAAGAACAAAAAGTGTTTATCATAGAGTCCTACTTTAGAAATGGACGCAAGATTGATGGAATATGGAAGTATTCTATTGAGGAATGTTTCATAGAATTTCAAAATCAATTTCCCGGCGTTGTTGAGTACAAAATTTTTCAAAGTGCAGTTCAGCGCTGTGTTAATGTTTTTCGTGAAACGGGCAGTGTAACAAGAAAAGAAGGAAGCGGCCGACCTAAAAAGCGGACTGAAGAATTAAAAGAAAATGTCCAACAAATAATGGAAAATGCGCCAAGAACTTCTGTACGTGTTTTATCACAAATGGTGGGAGTATCAGTCGGTACCTGCCACACAGTGTTAAAAAAAGATTTGCGTTTGTTCTCCTATCGTTTAACTTGTCAGCAAGAACTTCATGAAGTTGATTTTCCGCGACGGGCTGTATTTTGTGAATGGTTTTTAAACAACTACGGTGAACTTCATAATATCACCTTTTTTTCTGATGAAGCCTGGTTTCATTTAAGTGGTTACGTAAACTCACAGAATATGAGAATGTGGTCTTCTGAAAAACCAGATAACTTTTTTGTCGAGGGCCATCTACACGCTCAAAAAATTGGAGTTTGGTGTGCTCTCAATCGAAGGAGGATTTATGGACCTATTTTTTTTAATGGTACTCTTACTGCGCAAAGGTATAGAGAAGAAATTATCGCTCCTTTTGTTAACCAGCTGGAAGAAAACGAAATTACAAACTTTTACTTTCAACAAGATGGCGCAAGGGCACATACGGCAGGCGAGACGATGAATATGTTGAGGGAAGTTTTCCAAAATCGACTAATAAGTCTCAATGCTGAACATGAATTTCCACCGAGGTCATGTGATATTACGCCGTGTGATTTCTTTTTGTGGCCTTACCTTAAAAACACTATTTTTGAACTGCCTATTCCTGATTTAAACCATCTGCAGGCTCGACTTATAGACAAGATTCGTGAAATTAACAATACCCCGAGCATCTTAGAAAATGTCTTTAATTCTTTGAGGAACAGGTGTGAAAAGTGCTTGGAACAAGGAGGGGGACACTTTCAGCAGCTGCTTTAATTTATTGTTATAACAAGGAGGGGGACACTTTCCGCAGCTCCTTTAATTGTTTGATATGGTTATATAGTCATTAACGTTATTGAAACTGACAGCTGCTATACAGCTCGTTGAGAAATGAGGTTAAGTTGGTCGCTATAAGCTACTCCCTATGTCCAATGTGTCGGAGCCAGCTTCGACCACGTTTTTATTTGAACGCTCGTTATATCATAATCATATCATAAAATAAGTCATCATATGCGCCATCATTATATTATCTTCACTTTGTTTATTTACACTTTTTTTTGTATTCTAAACCGATTAACACAGAGCTGTAGGAAATTTCTCATTTTTAAAATTACCGTAAAAATAAGATCTATTTAATGCAAAAAGAGTGAATTCCTGAGCGGCGTTTGCCTGGCCCTGGTACAATTGGTTTATAATGCTGTTTTGCATGTCCTACTTTATTAGTTGTCAAGGGCAACTTAATTTCAACGGTAAGTTTCTTTGTATCAATTAGAACTTATATCAACAATATTAACTTCTATAATTAACGTTTAGTAATTTAACAATTAGTTGCAAAAATCAAACGAAATTAATTAACAAAATAGATGGAGCAACTATCACACGGTCAATTGAATTGGCATTTGGCATATGTTGGTCATTGGATTGACCGTCTTTTCCATAAATTTTATCAACATCCCTTGCTTTTTGCAATAATAATGCGCAATTTTCGAAAACTGATGTTTCCGTGTTCGACCCATATTTTACAGTTAACAAATTAGTGAAAAATGACTCTAAGTACCTTAAATTGGAGGTAATTTAATTGCCTGCACTTCTTTCGAAGTACTTTTTTGATATACCCCGTCATAAAGTGGAATAAAATGTACACTAATAATTTTTTCAAGTTTTCAGGTTTTGTGGTCTAATTCGACTGGAGTATTAAGAGATTGACAGGGATCTTCTGGCAACTGAAATCAGTTTTTTGGATAGAGTTTGTTAACCGGTTTCGCATAATTTGGATTTTTATGAAACCCGAAAACCGGCTATTCTATTCTTCAAATATCTGATTATTCGATAATCTGCATCATGCACACATTCGAATAATTGGATTCTATCTTTATAGCCTATAATTACATAACTCTATAATATAGTCTTAGTCTTAAGTAGCTATTGATATTGGTTATATAGTACATACATAGTCGATACCTACTACCAAAATTAGGTTGAACTATTAAGGGAAATACAATTTATTTTTATATTTTATCATGAGACACAGACACAGACTAATAAAAAAAACAATCACCCACACCCACATACACCAAACACCAAACGACCCAAAATATAAATAATAAATTGAAGAGCCGCAGTTTATTAAGTGCAACTGTTTTAACATTTTAACTTTTAACATTAGATTTAACTTTAAAATTTAAAATAAATGAATAACATTGTATATCCCGTCAGTTTTCCAAAACACCGATTTTCGGATATCCGGTTTTCGCCATTATTCGAGTAAACGGTTATTCGGTTATACGATACTTTACCTTATTATCATAAAAAACATTTGCTATTGTACTATTTTTCTATTCTAAACTTAAAAATTAAAATATTAAAGTGAGGTGACATTTAGGTTGTGTGTTTTTAAACATATCGTTTAAGAAAATTTACTATTTTACTGAAAATACCAGATACACGTTTTAATTAAAATACCTCATTGATCTCTTTCACGGTGTATAAGGGAAAAAATTACCCACTTATTTTATTACTGCAATCGTTAATTTAAAGACCTGTGCCAATCCAAGTTACATTTGGATTTGATTAGTGATTCTAGATTAATAAAAAAAAAATGTTGGTAGTAATCTTTACTATCCTGCAACTTTTTCACTTTGGCGCCATATTTTAGAAATACTCCGAAAATGAGAAACATTAATGACTGCAAATAAAGATTCATTCGTATTTTTTTTGTCACAGTCATGTTCTGCTTATTACTAAAAATTTTAAGTTGGTGTGATTACCAAGTACTCACTTTTAAATCGTCATTGGCTTCTCTCAAAGCTCCTGTGAGAGAAATCAAGTAATATATAATCAAAATCAGCAAAACCAATAGTGGGATTACAATTCCGGGAGATGCGATATAATCTAAAGCTCGCTGGAATGGTTCAGGAACAGTATTCTTTATAGTTCTTGTAAAAATGTGAAAGATCCTGTCATATTCGGAAAAAGGACCACAGTGCCAAGAAGGCTTTATCCACACTATCGCATATCCTACTGGCAGCACACATAAAAACAGCATCATTAACAGTAAAGCGTAATAAAAGTTGTTCGATCGAGAAGCTCTGAATATCACTTCATGTGGAACATTACAAGTTAGTACCGCCCAGGCTCTAAAATACATCATTATGTATAATTTAATAACGTTAAGGACAACTAATCCGGGAGAGAAAAACATTCCCATCCACACCATGCCTTGATTGTTGACTAAATGTAAAATATTCTCCGCTACTTTGAAATCGCCATACTGCGGAAACTTTTTCTCTAAATCCCAACACCAGCATCTGTTCATAACTCTAACAAAAATTCCTCTGAAGAAATCAATAGCCAAAGTTGACAATATCGTCATAACTAAATCCATAACCGTAAGTTTTATCAGTTCCTGTCCGAACATCGTTTCCCAACAGTAACTCCTCAATGTGGCGCACATGGAGTAATTTCCTGTGATTATTTCAGTTGTAGAAAAAGGTGTAGTTAAGTCGCCAGTAGACTCAGATGGTAATGTAATTTTCTGGCAATTACTATTTTCTGTAATGGTCCGGTTATTTTTAAACGAAATAATAGTAATAACAGCATTGTAAATAGTTGTTAAATCTTGCTCTTCGTAATATTTTCTTGATATGTTCTCGAGCAAAGGTGACAAAATGGATCTAATAATATCTGAATTACCTCCCACAAAATCAATATCACTTCTATCGGTAATGTTTAAAATATCAGCTTCTATCGTAGTGATGTTGTTAATATTAAAATTACCTCCCAAGATATCAATATTACTTTTATTGACAAAGTTTAACACATCAGTTTCTGCCACAGTGAAATTGTTAACATCCGTGTTATTGTTACTAAATGAAAGTAATAGATATGTCAGATAATCCACAAACATATCTTTAAAATCGGTAAGGTTGTACTCGGTAAAATTTCCGCCTGTATCATTTAGCATAGACAGGTTTGAAAACGAAGGTATAATAAAAAGAGTATCTGTAACGTTTATCAATGATGAATTTTCCGGATATTCTGTAGTAAAAGAATCAGTAATATTCGAGATATTTAGATCAATGATCGCTGTCTTGATTAAATCGATAAGTTGCAGTAGTGGAAAATCGGTAAGATTTGAGATGTTAAAGGCCATGTCGTATACGAGACTTTCAGATACAGGTGGTTTGATTTTCTTTGTGTCGTCGTATATGCTTGATGAATTAAAATATGAAACTGTAGTCGAATACAAGTTGAGATAGGTTGATTCAGATGTTTCCGTACAGGATATGTTCTTGTATTTATGCATTTCACGAGTCTAAAATATTGTATAATATCAAGATTTGCATTTTTATCCATTATTGTAATATCTACTCACCATGAAACTTATTTTATCGAATAGAGCAAATATTAAGGAATACAGATTCAGGAGATTTAGTACCATGATCCTAAAAATCATAAACATTGATTTAAATTACACTATTTTAAAAGTAACATGTAGGTAAAAATTGGTTAATATTAACAGAAGGTCGAAGTATCACAGCCACACAAAAAAAAGTTGTCTGTACTTTTCATGCGACATATTGTTATCCGTAGTATTTTTGCGTCTTGAACACGAATCCACTGTCAGAATTGAGCTATCACATCACAGTAATTTCCTAACCTCAAAAAACAGGTTAAAAATAGCAGAAAGTAACAAAAAAGTGCTAGGAATTTTTTTCTATATTCAAATGTTCATTTATATTGTTAAGACCCCGCCGAACCTGAATCCGCGGTCAATTGAGGTCAAATATCACGAATTTTCAAAAAATAACATATTCGCTCTAAATTTGGTATACGGAGGTTATTTCGGGGTCGCTGATCATGGATCCGAGGGCAATTTTGTAAAATACAAGATGGCGGATTCAAGATGACCGACCAAATTTTCAAAAATAAATAAATTTTCGTACGTTATCAGCGAAAAGTCGTTTTTTATCTCTTGACGCGTTCGACATTATTAGAATATTAAAACATGTATACACGAAGCAAACGCGAAGCAAATAACTGCCGTTATTACCGGTTTCGTACGATGCGCTGTAGCGAAAAGCCGACGCGACGGTTATGATCATCCGACCAAGTCCAGAACTCTACTGATCACGAATTCGAGGTCAGAAATGCGAAATTCATTTTGTAATATTCTTTTTGTTTATAACCTGAGTACCCAATCATGCTTAAACCTTCTTTTTATCGGCTATATCTTGTTCTTTTTTTGTAAAAGATCTATTCACGGGTTTTCTGCCTAATCTCAGGTAATAAAGTACATAGGTAATTGATTACATTTTTTAAAACGAATTTTGTAAATATGATCTGGGATTCTTGATCAGTGACCCCGAACCAAATACCAAATTATGTATACCAAATTTGATGCGAATGTGTTATTTTTTGAAAATTTGGTCGGCCATCTTGGATTTGCCATCTTGAATTTTGCAAAATTGACCTCGAATCCGTCATCAGCAACCCCGAAAACCCCCGTATACCAAATTTGGCGCGAATCTGTTATTTTTTGAAAATTCGTGACATCTGACCTTAATTGACCCGCTTTTTTTTGAGGTTTGACAAAGAACCATCAATTCTGACCGCGGATTCACGTTCGGCGGGGTTTTAACCATATAAATACACATGTGAATATAGAAAAAAAAAATGTATTTTTCCTAGCACTTTTTCGTGAATTGGCCTGTTTTTTGAGGTTAGAACATTGCTTTGACGTAGCTCAATTCTAACACCGGATTCGTGATCGGGAGGCAAAAATACTGCGGATAACACATGTGGCATGAAAAGTACAGACAACTTTTTTTTGCGGCTTTGTAGTTATTCATTTTCATTACTTACTTATGTTTTAACTAAAGATAATATATTTTTTATTTTCATGAATTTATGAAAAACTCTTTTACTTTTCATCTTTGACGTATACATCTTGTCTCTTTGTACATGTACAACGAAAAACCACACATTTTCTGTAAATTTTTTGAATTTTTTGAATAAAATAATAAGCGTAAATGGACTTTGATTATTTTTGTGATGGGCACTTTTGCTTTCAATTGACACAGTTTGGTTTTAAAAATATAAATATAACTACTAGAAAATTGATATATGGTGAAAATATAGATTCGTCTATAGCTTTATGGTGAATATTTTTCAGTTAATTGCTGACATAATTTGATATTGTTTCTTTTGTCTCCTTACAATTTCATTAAATAAGCGGACTGGCACTGATTTTACATTTGCCTGTATCCAACCATCAAATCTTTCGAAAATCAAGAAATTGAATTGAATATACTAAAATTAAGTTCCTTCTAAATAGTAAGTATTAGGTATAATGTCCATCCAATGTAGAATTAAAGCAGAAGTGAATTATGAATTTAATGAAAAAACATATTTAAAATCGCCACCGTTTTCTTGTATACATAAATTTACTCTTCGTAAAAAGTTAATGTTTCTTAAAATGTTTGCTCCATTTACAATTATTATTATCCTGTAAACAAATGAAGTCCAAACAAAATGGCCGCGGATGTTAATTTTGTTAACTTTGTTAATTTAAATGGAACACCCTGTATATTTTTACATATTTGGATAGAACGTTCTCTGGCGAGAATAGTCATATAGAGGTTTGTTGGGGCCATCTCTACCAATAAGCGAGATAATATTAAAAAACGAAAAGGTTTTTCATTAAGAAAATAAAATATCTTGTAATTGTTAGACCTCTTTCAGGCATCTATCCGTTTTTTCCAATTACGAAAGGATTTACAGGTTTTGTTATAATCTATTTTAACATATCGGACATTGATACGGTCCAAAATGCGTATAGGTATTCTAACTAAATCTCACTAGTTAGGCCGTGAGAGGCCTAATTACTCATGGACAATGCTATGTGGTAGGACGAGACAGATAATGTCATGACAACATTATTACTGTTTGACATTTCGTATTATTATTTCAAAAAGTGTGTAACGCAGAAGTAAAAAATTGAGATATTATAGGAATTAAAATAGGGTATGGAGAAGAACAATAATAATTTATAATATTAAAATCACAACGACAATTTTACAGCTAACAACTATAACTATATAATACTTAAATTACAAATATTGCTCGAAATGGCCTCCATTATTTAAAACACAAAGCTCATATCTTCTTATTAAATTATTATTTAAACAGTGCAAAATAGCTCATAAATAGTTTCTCTAATTGTATTTCTAATCATTTGGACGCTGTTTTTAAATTATTATTAACTTTTAAATTAAATTAGTAAATTTTAACCTTTAAAAATGCCCACAAAAATGTATCTAAGTGTGTTAAATCGGGACTATTTGGTGGCCATGGAATGGGTCCATTTTACCGATCCAAATGTCAAATTGGCCATTTAAATGATCCTGAACTTCCAAGACATTGTGTGGAGGCGCACCGTCCTGTTGCCAAATTATTCCCTCTAATTCCTCAGCAGAAAATTGTTGTTCTAACAGTAGTGCTACCTCCGGAAGAATAAATTGTAGATATGTTTCTCCTGTTAGGTTGTAGTCAAAAAATATGGGCACTACAATTTTATTTTGGAAAATGCCACACCAAACTTTTACTGACTTTCTACCGGATTTCTTAATTTGGGCAACTTATTTCTCATATTAAAAACGCCTGCTGTGGAAAATGACGATTCATCTGTCCACAATATGTGTTTAAATATATCAGGATTCTCATCTAATCTCTGGAGCATTAGCTGACAAAATTCTAATCGTTGGCGCTTGTGATCTTCTGTAAGCTTTTGCACAGGTAACAACTTGTAAGGTCTATAGTGAAACTTTTTTAATGATCTTTGAATTTTTGAATAACTTTTTCCAAGCTCATGTGATGCCACTCGTAAACTATTTTCTGAATTTTCTAAAACAATTTTTCATTATTTTAAAAAGGCACTCAAAATAAATAATAGATGCCTTGTTCTATAACAAAATTAACTTTCAATAGATATTTACAACAAAAAAATATATATAAAGCTACCTACCTTCAAAATAAATTAGAACATCAAGTTCTTCATTCTCGTCTGCCCCAGTGATAAGTTTTCTTCTTTTGAAGGTTTTATTATCTCTCACATGCCGATAAATATACAAAAATGTGTTTTGGCTTGGTATTGGGCGATTCGGATATAATGCCTTCTTACAGCTTTTTTATTTTTATTATTTCTTACATAAACAGAAAATATTTCAACTTTTCAGCTTCTGTGTAACCCATTTTAATTAAATAATAATACAAACTGTCATATAATAACAATGTTGTCATGACATTACTTGTCACTGTCATAGCCTACCATATAATATTGTCCATAAGTAATTAGGCCTCTCACGGCCTAATTAGTGAGATTTAGTTAAAATACCTATACGCATTTTGGACCGTATCAATGTCCGATATGTTAAAATAGATTATAACAAAACCTGTAAATCCTTACGTAATTGGAAAAAACGGATAGATGCCTGAAAGAGGTCTAACAATTACAAGATATTTTATTTTCTTAATGAAAAACCTTCTTTTCGTTTTTTAATATTATCTCGCTTATTGGTAGAGATGGACCCAACAAACCCCTATATGACTATACTCGACAGAGAACGTTCTATCCAAATATGTAAAAATATACAGGGTATTCCATTTAAATTAACAAAGTTAACATCCGCTGCCATTTTGTTTGGACTTCATTTGTTTTTCTACTATCATTTTTGAAAACTTCATAAAAAGTCGTGCAACTTTCGTATTTCACATTTTTTCATAACTCTTACAACAAAGAAGTTACTGTGGTAATTATTACAATGACTTTATACCTCGCTAATTGCAATCTTAATTGTTTCCTGGGATGGTATTGTTCTGCTAATCCTAAAACTTCAAATAGCATTGGGAAAAATAGAGTTATCAGGGACATCACAATCGTAATTTCATTTTTCCTCCAAACTGTGCTGTTTGCCTCCTTTTCAGTCGACCTTTTCACAACCATTACAACAGCAAAAGCTGAGAAGGTCAGCAATCCAAGTACAATTAAATTTACAAATACTCTGAAGCAGACAACTTTCCATCTAAAAAGTAATTACATAGTTCATTTTATTTGTATATATGGTCTGGATATGCAAATGAAGATCTACAGAAAAATATAGACGACCTGCCGGTAACTCAATGTTCTTGGCCAATATGATAAGTCTACATTATTTCCCACCGGCTCTTTATGACGACAGATCGCAAGTCTAGAAATATTATAGATTGCACCGTCATATGTCATTTATACAAATAAAGGGAACTATAATATTTGCTGTTTTTCTATCAGTTCCACATTGTAAACAAATAAATTTACTTTACACTGGCTGAAAGTCTAGGACTTTCTCAACTGACCATGAATTTAGGTTGTTGACATTATACAGCACTAATGCAGCATTAAGTAATTTACACTGTTTCTAGATTTGTGGAAGCAATATTGCGCGGGCTACCCGACATAAGGTGATTTGTGAATTTTTAGTAAAACTTATTACAGTATTGAAAATATTCCCATTCGCTTGTGGCAGATCAGAAAGGTTCTACTATTTCATACAGCATATTGAAATTAAATGAGTCAGTAACAAAAACCATGAATTTGATTGTATATTTAGGCTGTCCTCAATATTTTAATTATAGATGAACATACTCTATTGTTTTAGCAATGAAAACAGTTATAGCTAATACTAATGAATCGATAAAAATTTTGAATAAAATTAACAATAATTATCACAGCCCCACAAAAAAAAGTGGGAGATCCGAAAGACAAGACCATGGCATCTGCTGAGTGTTCCACCTAAGAGGGATTCTCCTGTAACTCTGTAACTGTAAAATTTATAAGAAAATGGTTTTAATAAAAGTTGCCTGGAATCATGTCCCATAGCCCATATAAAGAAAATATTTTTAGCTTTACATGGTGTTCCATTTCGCGTGGGCGCTACATAACTTTGTTATTTTAAATGGAAACCCTGTATATTATTGAGGTTTTGAATTCCTTTGTTAATATTTGGTAGAGTTTATTAAATGTACATGGTGTTTAAAACTTACCATTTCGAGATAATCAGTTGTTTTTGAAAAAATTACAATTTCAGCTCTCTAAATGAGGCTAGATAGCGTCAAAACCGTAAGTTAGAAACCTGCAGCTTTCACAGTTCGTTTTGGCATAAATTACTCTATCTTGTCATCTGTGAACAAAACGTGTACATTATTCAGACTAGGAAATATTGAGACCTACATTTAATAAACTTACGAGTTGAAAAACTTTTTAATGGAATGACCCATATTAACTGTCTTGGGTCAATGCAAAATTGAATGCCCTTTCGACTGATATAAGGTTGTCCATACTTATTTTTAACAGTTTTCCAGAAAAATCAGGTTATTTTCTAAAGTCCGAAAAACTAGCCATGTAACAGCGTCAAGAAAGCCTTGCAAAACCACTTTTCCCTCACATTTTATCAGGCTTGGGACTGACAGTGTTAATATTTACTGCCATGTTTAAAAAGTGGTTTGACAAACAAAAGTAAACCACTAACAACAACTAAAACAAAACGGAAAACGAAACAAACTGAAACTCGAAACACAAGAAGGAGAAGACCACTCATTTACATCCATTGCTCGAAGAGTCCTCCATTTAGATTAATACAGAAACGAATTCAGTTTTTAAAAGACTGTCCAACATTGGTCAGCATGTCTGGCGTATAGTCTCTTGAAATACTACCATAATGCGCTGCCACATATCTTCCGCGGTAGTTGCTTGTGTAACGAAAACTTTGCTTTTTATAAATCCTCATAAAAAGAAGTCGCGCCTTGTCATATCTGGACACCTAGAAAGCCAACTCACTACTCCCCACGTCCAATCCATCTGTTGGGAAAAGTTTCGCGTAAAAACTGACGAACTGCAGCGGCATTGTGAGGTGGAGCACCATTATGTTGCATCCACATTCTTCGAAGTGTAGCTAAAAGAATGTCAAATGACAAATCTTCTAGAGCTAGAGTGTTGGTTAAAAAGTTTAAATAAACTGCTCCAGTCAGATGCTGGTTAAAAAGGAATGGTCCAATGACATGGGTTCCCAAAATTACTCCCCACACGTTCAAATACCATCTGTATTGGCTATGAGTTGTCCGGAATTGGTGAGGATTTACTGTGTCATAATAATGGCAATTATGACGATTAACGAAACCATTTTTATAAAAAGTAATCTCATTGGGCATATGACCCATTTAATAAAATCTTCATCTTGATTTAACACCTCAAGTGCTCGCTGACAAAAGACCTTCTTGACGCTGTTACAATTTCACTTTACAATTTCACTTTATTCTTTTATTTTTACATTCAATAAATGTGACAAAAATAAGACAAAATTATAAATTACAAAATAATATATATGCAATAATCACAATTACAATAGTTACAATTTCATTCTTGTATTTTATATGAGAAAGAACTTTTGCCTAAACTGCATGTAAAATGAAGTTTGCGCGCAAATATTTCCCTTCTCAGATGGCAAATTTTGATAAGTAATTCCGTAGTGATTGTAGCAGAATAAGACCTCAAATCGTATTGATAGAACACTAAGCAACAGTTAAGAACATTACATGTCTTTGTTTGCAGGATTAAATAAATTACAGCTTGTTAGCAAATTTATAAGGATTTAAATATATCTGTGTGTTTGTCAAATATTTAAATTTCTTTTTGTTATTAATTAAACTTCTAATGGACTGCGGCAACATGTTATAAAATTCAGGAGCATAGTAAGTAATAAATCATTGCGACATTGAGTTATGAACCAACGGCATTATTAAGAATTCATTCACGTTGTGTCTTTTGAGATAATCGTGAGAGACAGAAGGACATAATTTTATTATTTTTGGTAAGTAATTAAGTGCAGAATGCACATATAAATTTCTCACATTTTATATGTTTGTACTTATATAACAATGCAGTACGATACATATAATTTTTCTTAAAAATTATTTTCAACCGAGTATTTTGACAGATTTATAACAGTTTTAAAGATTTAGTGTATAAGCTACCCCAAATAATTATACAATATCTTATTATAGATTCAACTAGACAATTAGAGTATTATACAGGGTGTTAATGAATAGGTGTTACAAACGGATATGCTATGTAAAAACTCCAAAAATAAGTGCAGTTTACTTAATAAACATATGTCCTAAAGCGGCTCATTTTCGAGATACAGGGCGTTGAAATTTAAAAATTATAAACTATTTTTTCCTGTAGCTCCGGTATTAGTTAATATTTCTTTATCAAACTCAACAGACAGATTTACTAACTTAAAGGATGCATAAATATGGCAGAAACCATTTATTGGCTTCTTCCAGTGGCGTGCGATAGGTGTCGTTTCAGCTTTTATCCCCCCTAAATTGTGCGGCACTGTACAAATATTAGTTTTTCGTATGTTTTTGAATTTGCTAGTATTTTTTACGTAAATAATGTATACTTGTTAGACTTCCATAAAATGAGTAATTATCAAGTTATTAACATTTACATTACTGAGGTCACCTTATGCTCCAAAAACCAAAAATTTTTAAAAAGTGACATGTTGAGTAAATTTTTCACGAAATTGTTTAGTAAATGCATACATGTGTCGCTTTTTCTTTTTGAGATACAAAACATTCAAGGTTTCCGTATTCCTCAAGCAAGTTTAAAATGTTGGAAAAAAAACATTTGCCGTTGACATTACTTGTATTTTAATGTCAAATTATTTTCGATTGTGAAACGAGGCAGTTTTTAATTATTATTGTTATTTTAGTGTAAAGTTTAGTTTGTAAGTTTTAATTATTAGATAGATATCTTTATCCATTCGTTTAAAACATTCATACATCATGAATGAATATACTTCTGCTGATTATGCAAACATGATATTAATGTACGGTCAAGCGCGTTGTAATGGCAGGGCTGCCCGTCGGTTATACTCAATCCGATTTCCAAATCGTCCAACCCCTTCACATAAGATATTTGGAAGAGTGTTTCGCAGGTTGCAGGAAACAGGAACTTTTACAACAAATAGGGTTAACTGCGGGGTAAGGAGAAACCGCAGAACGATAAGGTTCGAAGAAGAAGTTCTTAATAGGATAGAAGAAAACCAATCCACCAGCAGTCGAAGTATTGCTCAGAATATGCATGTAAACCATGTAAGCGTTTGGCAAGTTTTACGCGAGCAACAGCTTCACGCTTATCATATACAAAAGGTTCAAGCTTTAACTCCCGCCGACTTTCAGCCACGACTAAACTTTTGCCATTGGTTTCTTCAACAGTGTCAGTTGCAAGCAAATTTTCCGCGGTTTGTGCTTTTTACAGACGAAGCATCCTTCACACGAGAAGGGATCTTTAATTCTCGCAACAACCATGTCTGGGCTGAAGAAAACCCTCACACCATTCGCTCCACTAGATTTCAGCAGAAGTTTGGCGTCAATGTCTGGGCTGGTATAATTGACGGGCGCTTAATTGGTCCGCACCTTCTTCCAAATCGTCTTACAGGTCCTATTTATTTAACGTTCCTACAACAAGTACTTCCAGAATTATTAGAAAATGTGCCATTGAACATTCGACAGGAAATGTGGCTGCAGCATGATGGTGCGCCAGCGCACTTTTCGCTTGTTGTCCGAGATCACCTTAATCAACAATTCGGTGTAAGATGGATTGGCCGTGGAGGACCTATGGCGTGGCCACCACGTTCCCCAGACATGACCCCGCTTGACTTTTATTTGTGGGGCCATATGAAGAGTCTAGTTTATGAAACTCCTGTTGAGTCAGAAGAAGATTTGGTAGCACGCATTCTAGCTGCAGCGCAGGAGATCGAAACGACGCCTGGCACTTTTGACCGAATGTACACAAATATGCTTCGAAGAATTAACGCTTGTATCGCTACTGGTGGCCGTAATTTTGAGCATTTACTGTAATTTTTTTGTGCAAAATAAAAATACCTTTTAAACAACTTTAACTTTTTGTATCTCGAAAACTAGCATAGCATAGAAAAACATAGTTTTTGGAGCATAAGGTGACCTCAGTAATGTAAATGTTAATAACTTGATAATACTCATTTTATGGAAGTCTAACAAGTATACATTATTTACGTAAAAAATACTAGCAAATTCAAAAACATACGAAAAACTAATATTTGTACAGTGCCGCACAATTTAGGGGGGATAAAAGGTGAAACGACACCTATCGCACGCCACTAGAAGAAGCCAATAAATGGTTTCTGCCATATTTATGCATCCTTTAAACTAGTAAATCTGTCTGTTGAGTTTGATAAAGAAATATTAACTAATAGCGGAGCTACAGGAAAAAATAGTTTATTATTTTTAAATTTCAACGCCCTGTATCTCGAAAATGAGCCGCTTTAGGACATATGTTTATTAAGTAAACTGCACTTATTTTTGGATTTTTTACATACCATATCCGTTTGTAACACCTATTCATTAACACCCTGTATAATGTTATTAATAATTTTTTCCTCAGAATATCTCGAAGTTGGTAAAATCTATGATACATTTTTCTAATCTTTATGGTGACATAATTTACATGGACATTCCATCTCAAATGCTGGTTAATCATAAGTCCTAGATACATAGCTACTTTTTCTGACTTTAGAAAACACCTCATTTTTCTGGAAAACTTTTAGAGATAAGTATGAACAACCTTATATTAGTCCAAAGGGCATTCTATTTTGCATTCACCCATGACAATTAATATGGGTCAGTCCATTTGAAAAAAAATAAGTTTTTCAACTCGTAAAATTATTAAATGTAGGTTTCAGTATTTCCAAATATTAATAAGGTACACGTTTTGCTCACAGATGAGAAGATAGAGTAATTTATGCCAAAATGAACTGTGGAAACTGCAGGTTTCTAATTCTTACGGTTTAGATGCTACTAGTTTCATTTAGAAAGCTGAAACCGAGATTTTTTTCAAAAACAACTGAATATCTCGAAAACGGTAAGTTTTAAACACCATGTACATTTAATAAATTCTACCTAACATTAACCAAGGAATTCAAAAATTCAATAATATACAGGGTGTTCCGTTTAAAATAACAGTCACGCGAAATGGAACACCCTGTTAAGCTAAAAATATTTCCTTTACATGGCCCACATGATTCCAGACAACTTTTATTAAAACCATTTTTTTAAATTTTACAGTTACAGAGTTACAGAATAATCTCTCTTAAATGGAACACCGTGTATTATGTCTTGGGGTCGCTGAATCCAAATCCGATATCCATTTGTAGCCCAATTAGCTAGGTTGAAGTCAGTTCAAGGTCAAATGTAGAGAATGAATTGCCAACAAAGTGAACTAATATATCTATACGTTTTTGGGATCGCTGAATCCAAATCCGGGACCTGTTTAACCCGATCAGGTCTACTAAGTACTCTCAACTTCTAGACTCAAAACAGTAACAGTAATAAGTAAAATTAAAGAAATGAAGCTAAATATCCTTATTCCACCTCTACGCATCAAATTCAGTCTCATAGAGCAATGGGTAAAAGCTCTAAACAAAGACGATTAATGCTTTAAGTATCTCGGAGATCAGTTCAATAATTTAAGTGATGCGCAATTGCGGAAAGGAATTTTTGATGGACCGGATGCGTAAGATATTAAAGGATCACATTTTTGTTACTAAAATGAATGAAAACGAGAAAGCAGCAAGGTTATGTTTTAAGGAACAAATCGAAAATTTTCTAAGAAATCGAAAGAGTTCAAACTATAAAGAAATGGTGTCGAATTTGGTGGAAAGCCTTAAAAACGTAGGCTGCTTAATGAATCTCAAATTACGTATTTTACATTCTCATGTGGATTATTTCCCAGAAAATTTGGGTGATTACAGTGAGGAGCAGATTTCATCAAGATAATAAGGAAATGGACCGTCGTCGTCGGTACCAAGGCAGATGGGATACAAAATATTCTAACTTCCCATCTTTTTTTTTGTGGGGCTGTTTTATTTTCCTTTTTTTTTTAATAAAAATGAGGAAATAGCTTTATTACGTACGTAAATGTTGCGTTCCTTATTGTTCGTTAATAAAGAAATATTAAATTTTAAGTTCCGTCTTACTAAAAATATAGTAGGAAGTCCCAGTGCTACTAACATCGAGCTGAACTTTGTAAATAGCTGTTATCATTGTTAAAATAATATTGGTTAAAACTGATTAAAAAATAATTGTTAAGTTTATTGTTAATTCAAAACTTGGGGAAGTGTAATAAAAAATCAAATACATCCTTTTCATATAGACACTTTCAATATGTTATACAAAATAGTAGAAAAATAAGGCAGGATTTATTTCTGTTATAAAAGAGAACGGGAATTTTTTCAACACCGTCAGAATTTTTGTAGTATGTGGTATATTACAAAAATAAATTAATTTCAATAGATGAACCATTTATTGAAACACTTTATTTAGTTTTAGTGAAAATTCATCATATTCAAAATATTTGACCCACGTCATTTCGTATTTGTCTAAATTTCCGCCCCTCTGCGTTACAATATGTACAGTTCATACAGAACACTGTGTATAACTAAAGCTAACCCAAAGTGCATCTAAGAATAACTGATAGTAAAAGTAAGATTACTTTCTGGATTCTCTCTTTTTCTCTGCCTCTTCCAATAATGCTTCTTTGAATCCCATGACAATGGAAGCGACTCTATTGTGTGCCGTCTCTGCGTTACCGATCATATAATCCCACGCTGTAAAAAGTTTCCATGAAAAAATATATTCATCATCCTTTTCTGAAAGCTTAGACATACGAGAGTTTTCAGCCATTCTGAAAGAAATAATTTGTTATACATGGACGAAGCAACTATTTCCAGCTGAATTGTAACTGCCTATCGCAATAACAAAAGCAGAAAAATGTATTTATATAATAGGTGTTTGGAGCAACTTTTAAACCTTCTTTGCTTTATAGTCGGTGAAATGGTATCCATACATTCATTCTCTACCATATTATTACCTTTAAATATCCAGTGGTAGTTTGCATATACATATGTATTCAACGAACCACAAAAATCGACCTCTTCGATTTTTTTTAAACTTTGGGATGTCAATCTACTTTAAATTTTATGAGACCCGTGTTTTTTTGTTTTTCCGAAAAAAGCGTTATTCCGAAAATGAGAATGCATATTATTTTCCAGTGGCCGTCATTTTGACCCAAATCATCCCACTGAAACGTTTTTTTTTTTCACAATGTGCAGAATTTTATCAGCTTTTACTTGATTTTTCGGAGTTCAAATTGCTTTAAAACTTTCTGAGATAACTGAGAAAAACGGAAAAAAGTATTTTTTTTTTCAAAATTGATTTTCTCAAAAACCTCGCCTTTTATTTTTGTAAAATTTGGATACCTATGTTTTTTAAGGCCAAATAGGCTATTTTGTAGCCGAACGGCAATATGCCAACCTGCTTCGTTCGGGGGATATGGTTTCGCAAAGACAATATTTCCATTTCTTCTAGTGCTGCAATCGTGGCCAACTAAGATCCTCTTTAAAAAAAGGACGAAAAGAAAATGTAATAAATAACTTTTTTATATAAGTATAACGAATTTATATCATTTTGGAAAGCCAAAACACCTTTTTAGATGGCTAACTAAAAAAAATGTTAAAATTACTAAAGAAGTAAGTACACCACTGGATCTTAAGACGGCTACTTCTGACAGAGGAAAACTAGATAGCTCCACCAACAAATTATTTCAAAGATGATGAATAAATTTAAAGGAACTAAATTTATTGCAAATGAAAAGTTGTAAGGGTTTAGCATTTGTTGGAGCTCCTAATGACATAATTTGGTTAGAAAATCTACGCTAGTTTACGAGAAATAAAATTTTCTTTGAGAAACTGTTTATGGCTAAAAACTTTTTTTAGATCAAAACGGTTATTTAAAATATGTCATTAGGAAATTTGATCATATTTGAAAATCGTAAGAATTCACCGACATGGAAAACTGTAAATTATTTACACACCCGATTACAGTTAGAAAATAAAATACGTTTACAACTTTGGACACTCTTTAACAGATCTGATATTAAAATGTAATTGTTATTCACGGTCCGTAAAAAAGACGATCGAGTAATAGACAGAAATTATGGGCGTGGCTTATCTCATACTACGTCACAAAATTTCTAACCTTTAGGATTTATGTTACTAGTTAAGTCGCATGTAAACAACATGCGACTTAACTAGTAATTTTGCATTTTTCCAAGTAGTAAATCTTTCATAGTTGTTTGGGTATTTTTCAGTAATTAGTTAGTTATTGATAATAGTTTTTAATAAGTTGATGGTGTAGTGTTTAATATAAACTATTAATTTACGTAAAAATGTCAGGAGTGAGGTGTAGTGTTGCAATTTGCAATAATAATTTTTATAGTGCTAACCAAGACAATTTAATTTTATTTTGAAGACTCAAACTTTGAACGCGATCTTCAAGCAGAGCTATTAAGTTTATCATCAAGAAAAAGACTTAAAGAAAACAGGTTAAATGTTAAATTTCTAGTTTAGAATACTGATTGTATTCACTTCAAAAAGGACTAAATTTATTGTTATTGTTGTATAACAAATTGATGTGATTGTTAGAAAAGCGACTGGAAATTTTCAGTATCTATCGAAATGTGATTTTAATATTTTTGTAAACTTGAAAATTTTTCTTAAAATTAAATGTTATGTCAAAAGTTCTGCGGGAATAACTTTTCCCCCTCTTCCTTTCATTTTATTACTCCATTTAACTCCGAACACCGAAAAAAACTCTTTCAAAGCTAAAAACTACTGTATATAGTTTACTTGTAAAAACTTAATAATTTTTTAATTGGAACATCAACTGTAATAGGATAAATATGAAAACTGTAGTTGGTACGTACAAAAATAAATTATATTGCAGCCTATTATAAAGAATTAAAGTACTTTGGTAAGTTATTTGAAATTTAACTAAAGACAAAGATCACAATACACAATTTTTATTTTGAAGGCAAGAGAATATTGTAACATTTTAGACTCAAATTACCTGTTAATTAATCATAATCATCAACTGATTAAATTCATTCTTTTATGCGAAAAGGAGCGTGGTACAAGAAAAGTGACAATTTTAAATTTGCCTCTTATTTTCTTATAGGATATGCAATGAGTCAGAAAGAGATGACGGTTGAACGAAGATAAACTGAGGAATTTGGTGACGTATTTGTTTTTTATTGGCTGATTGACTTATGCGGCGACCGTCTCTTTACGGACCGTGATTGTTATTCACCTGCCCCATAGACAGAGTTGCCAAATGTAGCGATTTATCGCCATTGTGTCGACATGACACCGTACTCTAATGGCTGNAACTGAGGAATTTGGCGAAGTATTTGTTTTTTTTATTGGCCGATTGACTTATGCGGCGACCGTCTCTTTACGGACCGTGATTGTTATTCACCTGCCCCATAGACAGAGTTGCCAAATGTAGCGATTTATCGCCATTGTGTCGACATGACACCGTACTCTAATGGCTGCTAAAATTTCACATAGCAACAAACGATTTTTATACTTTTATACGACAGTAGTAATTATTTGTATAAAGTGTCACTTGTTTAAAGATAAAATATAAAATTTCTGATTCGAATCTGGGTTGCAATATTTTCTTTGCAGTCCAATTTGTATTTTGTTACTCTTTTATGTCTGATTTTTAAATATTCTTTCAGAATGTTTAGTGCTATAAAAATAACTTAATTTTTTAACAACTTTTATTTTAAACAGACTTTTTGGCTACTGTATTTCCATCTATTGACGACAATAGATAAAATTTATCTGGCAACCCTGCCCATAGAACTTTATGCACGCCAGCCCAAAGAACGTTTATCTATGCCAAAGAATTATAATGTTGGGCCAGCCCGCCCAGATTTGATTAATAAAAATATAGGTTATGTTATGCGACATATGACTGCAATCAATATTTTGAAATTTTAGATTTTTGAACAAATAGAATTGTTAAATACATTTAAATTTACATTTTTAGTAGTTTTTGTTGATAAATAGGCAGGTACCTATTTGCTTTTAAATTTAAAATGTATACGTTTAAGTTTTACAAGGTTTATAAGGAGTGTCCTTGGTAATTTTTTTTGCAGTGGTCCATTATTTTACCTGACTGCTAATCTATCAAATTCAAACGTATATGTAGATCACATTATGATAACAATTAAAAAAGTATTGCTGTATTAAAAAATATCTAACGTTAAAAATGGCAACATTGCTATGATAGGCCCTGGCAAGCCAAAAAAAGGACATTTTTGAAAAATTAAAAAATATTAATTATATTTCGATACCTTTATTCGTTTATTATAAGCCCCTTTACTATTTCCACTTTCCAAGTCCAGGTAACAATTTTCTTTTTTCCCCGCTAAATGAGTTATTTTGTTCGGTCTAATAAATGTTTTACTAGTTGACATAAATTCCACGGTATACCTGTGACACCTTTTGTTCAAAAATCATACTTACAAGTATATTGACTTTGTATTATACTACCGCTGTACAGCGAGGTTCTTATCGTAGCTATATATTGCAATTTAATAATTTTAAGTGATGCTAGCGCCAAAATATCCCTGTGGCAGAAATCGCCGACTTAAAAAAAAAATTATAAAATAGTGTCAATATTTCGAAAAAAAGTTCAACTGTAGTTCGTCGGCTGATTAGTGAATTGTTCTATTTCTATTTTTGTCCAGATTGTAATTTTAGAGAACTTTAAAACCATTTTAATCTTATTAAAACAATATTTCCAAAGTAACCTTTTTTGAGGGAATATATTTTTGTTTTAGCGAGAGAATTAGGCCTAGAAGTTTGTCGAAATGTTGCTANTTTTTTAACAACTTTTATTTCAAACAGACTTTGTGGCTACTGTATTTCCATCTACTGACGACAATAGAAAAAATTTATCTGGCCAACCCTGCCCATAGAACATTTATCTATGCCAAAGAATTATAATATTGGGCCAGCCCGCCCAGATTTGATTTATAAAAAGCTAGGTTATGTTATGCGACATATGACTTCAATCAATATTTTGAAATTTTAGATTTTTGAACAAATAGAATTGTTAAATACATTTAAATTTACATTTTTAGTAGTTTTTGTTGATAAATAGGTAGGTACCTATTTGCTTTTAAATTTAAAATGTATACGTTTAAGTTTTACAAGGTTTATAAGGAGTGTCCTTGGTAATTTTTTTTGCAGTGGTCCATTATTTACCTGACTGCTAATCTATCAAATCCAAACGTATATGTAGATCACATTATTATAACAATTAAAAAAGTATTGCTGTATTAAAAAATATCTAACGTTAAAAATGGCAACATTGCTATGATAGGCCCTGGAAAGCCAAAAAAAGGACATTTTTGAAAAATTAAAAAATATTAATTATATTTTGATACCTTTATTCGTTTATTATAAGCCCCTTTACCATTTCCAATTATAAAAGTCCAGGTAACAATTTTCTTCATTTTTCCCCTCTAAATGAGTTATTTTGATCGGTCTAATAAATGTATTACGAGTTGACATAAATTCCACGGTATGCCTGTGACACCTTTTGTTCAAAAGTCATACTTACTCGTATCTTGACTTTGTATTATACTACCGCTGTACAGCGAGGTTCTTATCCTAGCTATATATTGCAATTTAATAATTTTAAGTGATGCTATAGCGCCAAAATATCCCTGTGGCAGAAATCGCCGTCTTAAACAAAAAAAATTATAAAATAGTGATTAGTGAATTGTTCTATTTCCATTTTTGTCCAGGTTGTAATTTTAGAGAACTTTAAAACCATTTTAATCTATTCTTATTAAAACAATATTTCCACAGTATTAAATCTGTGTGTTGTATGACACACGGCATCTCCGCATATATTTTAGTTTTAGTTTTGGCGAGAGAATTAGGCCTAGAAGTTTGTCGAAATGTTGCTAATACACTCACCAATAGGCATTTTTTAAACAACTATCAGGCGTAGAAAATTTACTGATTAAAACATCGTAAAGATATTTAGAACCCTTGCTATCTATACATATATTAGTACCATTTGACAAATTTTAATAATAATGGCGAAATTTTATAGATAAAAATATAATTTTATAAATTGATTTAAAATTGTTTTTACGTAATTTCTGATTCTGAAAAAATAAAATAAATATTCGTACATTTAATTTTTAATTAGAAGTATATAGGAATCCATATAAACCCTGTTAAAGTGTTAAATGTTGTCGTAACTAAAACTTTCAGGTTTAAGATTCTTGTGACAAATACATCAAATAATGGAAACTTTAGAAAGAAATTTTGGCAAGATCTTGAAAATATTCGTATTCTCGCATTCGTATAAATTCGTAGGCAGAGGAAAAAATTTGGCTTTTTTCTCAAAGTAATTATGTCGTTTAAGACATTTTAAATAAGACCAATAATTTTTCCGAAAGGTATTTAGCTTATTTATTACTAATCGATAAGCGAACTAATATTAATTATAAAATTATTAATATTCGAAATCAAAAAGTCGTTTTTCTCAGACTAGGTGACCTTTATGTTTTTGTGTCTGCTGATCACGATCCCAGTGTCCATATGACCTCATCACGTCTAGATCAAGGTCAAATGAAGGTCAAGCACATTAACTCGAATGATGGAATCTCTTTGATCCCGGATTTTAAAAGAGCGGAAAATTTTACGTCCGAATGCGGTTCGACTTGTTGGTCACACCGACCTCTGAAGGTCATTTGCAGATCATCTAGAGGTCAAATACTTCTTTTGATCTATCGGCTGATGTATCGGCCAAAAAGCGAAACATCGTATAACTCTATGAAAGTTCAGGGGAATTAGTCCCTCCCTCACGGAAAAGATACGTACTTAACAGTTGAGTGTGACTTCGTGAAAGGATAGGTTCATAGTCCAAAATGTGAAATCCGTTGAATGTTCAATGTATATTTACATTCAACCGACTTTAAATTTTGGGCCATATCAATTTACGAAATTACATTCAACTGTTGAATATTTTTCTACCGTAAGGGGTGACCTTGGATTTGACAACAGAGTCATTTCCTAGGTCAATCTGAGGCCATGATTCCTTACTTACACAATATGCTGTAAGGAGGTACATCGTGAACCGAGATTTCTTGTGTCTCCCCCAGAGCATCTCCACGATAATGTGTGTGACCTTCATCTGACCTTGATCTAGACGTGATGGGGTCATATGGACACCGGAATTGTGATCAGCGACCCCAAAAACATAGGAGTCAACTGGTTCGAAGCCAATTCCTAGCTAATATATCAGCCGACGGGTCAAAAGAAGGATTTGACCTCTAGATGAATTGCAAATGACGTTCAGAGGTCGGTTTGACCAACAGGTCGAAGCGTATTCGGACGTAAAATTTTTCGCTCTTTCAGAATCAGCGGTCATAAAAAATGTATCATTCGAGTTAATATGTTTGAGCTTCATTTGACCTTGATTAAGACGTAGTGGGGTCATATGGACATCTGAATCGTGATTAGCAACCTCAAAAACATAATGGTCACCTAGTCTGGGAAAAAGGATTCTTCGATTTCTATTTGTGGGCTTGTGTAATTAGTATAATAACTAATAAGAAATAAAATATACTAACTTTCTCAATGTTGCGAAGAAACTATAGGCGTAAACTGCAAGCCCTGTCATGAAGTATGCGAGTGGTAATCTATAGAATTTATATGTCGATTCGTTATTTGTATACCATCCATAAAACAGTGGAGAATACTTGAAAACTCCTTCAAAATCCCATAGAGTTAAAAAATTTGTCGCATTGTATTTTTCTTCTTCTAAGGTGAATTTGCGCCCGCTGTCTGTTTTTGGATCCACCGTTAACATCTGTAATTGAAATTCTACATTTAACGAAAAATATGAATCTGTTTAAATAGACACATGAGTGAAAGACAGAATATTTAAAGTTTGATGGGTTTTCGAGATATTATGCCGTGACCTTTATGTCTGTTACAAACTTACATTGGTTTAGCTAAGAATTCTTGACGTATACTTTTTGTTCTCTGGCTAGGCTCTGTGGGGGCAGACCCGTTGTCGGAACCCCTAGGCCTGCCCTAATGTTCATTTCGGTTTTTGTTCTCGGTATTGACCGAAATGAAAGAAAGGAAAGGAGGAAAATAGTCGGTTATATTACAAGCCACGTGACCAGTAATTTTGTATGAAACAGTAATAATATTATTTCCTTCATGTTGGCAATTAAATTTGGTTAAAATTAAAAATTATTAAAACAATAAAATCAAGATTACATTAAAACACAACATTCTGTTTCACCGGCTGTGATTGGTGTAATTTTTCACGAGATTTTCTATTCAGCCAATCAGCGATCGCATTACCTAGAGCATAGGCGGTAACAGTTTGTTACTGTTCTTTCTAAACGAATCATTAATAACAGTGACATGACGCCAAGATTTAAGGATTTTTCGTTACCAGTATTAGTCGTGCAATGTTAGGTTTGCTAAGCTAAGCTCAGGGTCACGTGGCTTGTAAACATTTATGAAGACTACTATTTTGTGACTTATATTTCACGGTGCTTCATAGTATAAAAATGGTAGATGATCATTCAAGCTCAAAATACATTGTATGTATGCCCAGAACAACACAAAGAAATTGTATAAAAATGATTTAATAAAGGTAACCCGGTACTTGATTATAACGATAGAATACACAGCCACGCAAAAAGAAAGTCCAAGAGAGCCACATGTCATTTCCGAAGGGATTCAATGCGTTGAACACGATTCTGTAGTCAAAATTCATGAGTTCACGGCAAATTTAGGAAAAAAGTGAAATTTTTGGGTGAAAATGCACAAAAACTGATTTTTTTCCTAAGTTTTCATAGTATTTTGAGGCGCTGAACACGATGCCATTTGTAAAATTTAGCCATGACCTCGATATTTCTCGGAAAATCTACTATTCGGGTGAAAATTGACCCAAGAAATAGATTTTTTTCTAAAATTTGTCCAAATACATCATTTTCATAGTATTTTGAGACGCTAAACATGATGACAGTGATATTTGGACAAAATTTAGGAAAAAAATCAGTTTTGGCCCATATTTGGGCCAGTTTACACCTGGCCTTTTTCTGAGAAATGTCGAAGTCATTGGTAAAATGTACTAATGGCATCGTGTTCAGCACCTCAAAATATTACAAAATTGATATTTTTGGACAAAATTTAGGAAAAAATCAGTTTTGACCCATATTTGGGTCAGTTTTCACATAAATAATTTATTTTTTGGATAAATGTCGAAGTCATGGGTAAATTTTACTAATGGCATCGTGTTCACCACCTCAAAATACTACAAAATTTATATTTTTGGACAAAATTTAGGAAAAAATTAGTTTTGACCCATATTTGGGTCAGTTTTCACTAGTGCTGAGAATTATATTCGAATAATTCGAATTAGTACTATCTATAAATTCGAATAAGTGTAAATGTAACTATTAGAATAATATAACTATTCGAATTATTCGAATAATTTAACTATTCGAATAATTTAACTATTCGAATGTTCGAATAATTTCACCTCCACATTTTTTATTGGATTTGGCTTGATGCCTCTTTCATTTTTTTGATAAGTGGTACAAGTTTTGAGTAAAAAAATTAAGTTCAGGACCCCATACGCGCACATAGTCTTTTTACAAATATCTGATTTAGCACATCAATATCTAGTAGCTTCTCATTTCAACGTCTTACAATAAGACGAGGACAATAAAAAATACTCGGCGAAGAAGAAGACTCAACAGTCTAAATATCGTGTCAAATTTCAGTTCTTAATTTCAAACAGTTGGGAAAAAATTGAAAAAAACTTTATATTTTGCAGCCCTTTTAAGGAGTCGTAACGTAACTAATACAGGGGCGCCTAAATAACAAAATTTGATATGAAAGACCCCTTTTAAAATTGTTTAACTAATCAACCCTGAAATTTTTTGCACATAATATGGGATCACCCAGTATATGTACCTATTAATATTTTGAAAATACCTATCAATTTTAGTTCTCTTAAAACACATGAACATTATACATTTTATAATAGCGTAATATTTGAGTTTTTCTGGATTATTCGAATAATTCGAATATTTGATTACATACCACCTAATTTCGAGCATTATTTGTAGGTATTATTCAAATATTGTAAATATTCAAATATTCGAATAGTTCAAATAATTTATATATTCGAATGATTTAATAATTTGAATATTCGGATAATTCGAATAATTCGAATATTGTAATAAGTCGAATATATTCGAATAACTCGAATATTCGAATAAATATTGAAGTAACTGTTCGAATACGAGATTTAAAAAATGTCCCAGCCCTAGTTTTCACCCAAATAGTAAATTTTCTGAGAAATATCGAGTTCTTGGGTAAACATTATTAATGGCATCGTGTTCAACTTCTCGAAATACGACAACGTTGATATTTTTGGACAAAATTTAGGAAAAAAACAGTTTTGAGTCATATTTGGGACAGTTTTCACCCAAATACTGGTTTTTCTGAGAAATATCGAGGTCGTGAATAAATCTCACTAATGGTATCGTGTTCAGTGCCTCAAAATACTACGAAAATTATATGTTTGGATAGACTTTAGAAAAAAAAATCTATTTTGACCCATATTTGGGCGTTTTCACCCAAGAATTTAACTTTTCTCCGAATTTGCCGTGAAGTCAAGAATTTTGACTACAGGATCGTGATCAGCGCATCTTTGTTTTTATCTGCATTTTTATCGGACAGCATATACCTACATATTACAATTGTAATAATTGGTAGAGGATTGTTACTATTATTTATCCTCATTTATGTAGTTTCACGATTAGACAAAATTAGGTTTTAAAGTGTTAGATGACGACTCTCTTATAAAGCTTTGTCATCCTTCTTTATGCTACGAATAGAGTGACAGAAATTTTATGGGACAGTCGCTATCAGTTATTATCAAACCCAAGTTTGACTGGTTGTCTAACTAACAAGAAGGCAACTGTTATTAAAATCATGTAACATTCACAATAATGAATACAATTATTTAACATTATTAGGTTTCTCTAAGGTGTAGTAAATTAATATTGTAAGTGATTATTAACAATAAGATAGTAGTAAATTCACATCGTCAGATTTACAGCGATAGTAGCTGTTCCACATATAATTTTAATACGTTTCTAAGGAAACGAAATGTAAAATACGTAATAACTTTATTAAAAAAAAGTCCGGGTATATTCATAATACAATATTGCATATTCAGTGTAGATAATTCTACTGGCTACAGACCAAGACTTTATATCAAAGCGAGAAAGAGGTCAAACAAATATAAAGAATAATGTGAAATAATAATTTATGATGATGATCTACCCGCTGCAGGTCAATTCGTCACGACTAAACTATATGGACATCGAGCAAAGAATAATGCAAAATAATTCAACTAAAAAGTCTTTCGCATATTCTGAACATCCTGTATGTCAAAATCTAAATTTATTTTGATAAGTAATTTTTAAGCATTTTAAAAAAAAAACAAAAAATAATAAAGTGTCTTCTCTCCGAATAGTAATCCGTAGTATTTCTAACTTAAATTAAAAATATGTTATATCTTAACCTTAAAAAAATTTAAAGGTAAGTAGGTAATTCGTTACCTTTTATGCAAGTAACTAACTACTTCAACAAATTTACAAAAAAATTAAATATATTTATCGCGATTGTTGCAAGCAATGACTGAAAGAAAAATGTACATGTATAAATACTAAACAGGTTTATAGAGAAACATAAAATACACATGTCTAGCAAGACATATTAATTTGTTTAAATATATTGTGGTATTTTATAAAACATTTTTCGAATACAATAAAATCAAATTATGTAGAGGCTTTGCTTTTCTAAGTATTCGTCGGTGTTGACATAATAAATTCCGGGTGGTATGTCAGGACTTGCTGCTATCCCCATAGGAAAAGACTTGAGATAATTAGTTTTCCCTTTCACATAATCTTCCAATGCTTTATAAGGATAGGCTTTAAATAAATCCGGATTTCTAATAGAAGCCGTCCAATATTCGCATGATTTTCCATGACTGCACTGCCCTAAAACGACAAATACATTACATTACATTACATTACATTACATTACATTACATTACATTACATTACATTACATTACAATACATTACAAATTATTTATAAGGTGCACAAAAAAAATCATAAGGTTTTTAATAGGATATGATACCACTCTGTATTTTGAGCCACTGAAAACGTTGGAGCCATCAGAAATGCTCCATCTCATCAGGTTTTTTCCTAACCTCAAAAATATCTTAAAATTAGTGGAAATCTCGATTTTTTTGTTAAAATAGTTAAGATTTTGAAATTAAGGTATTCAGACGCGTTAATAGGGTCAAAATAAAAACTTTATTCCTGCACCTTTTTGTATAAAATGCCTCCTTCAACCCAATATTAACCAATTTTTAACTTTAAAATGCCTATAACTCAAGAATGCATTTTAGAGAAAAAATACAAGAATAAATAGTTTTTATTTTGACCCAATTAACACGCCAATAACACACAAATAAATAAAAAAAACACAAAATATAAAAGCAAGAATCTCAGCGAGAAAGCATTTTTGGTGTAAATGGTGAGGATTTTTCAC